CGGCAGATGAGGAGGTACATCCGGAAGGGGTGCGAGGTATACCTATGCATGAGTGAGGACAAAGTGCGCGGTAAAGGCTCGTGGTGGTTTGTGGGGACAGTACTATTGGTCCGGAGTAACTACCTCGGGTCCTGCGGGGCCGGGGGTGTTACAGATAAAATGTTACCAAAGTGACAATTGTCTTAATTAAGGGCAGGGAGTTCTACTTTAATGAATTCTACTTTATTATTTCTTGATACATTTGTGGCTCTAAAGGAAAAAAAGAATTATTTTAAGACACAGTACCATATCTGCCCCCTGATTGGCTGGCATGTCAAGGGCAGGGAGTTTCACCCAAGCATTACCCGTTTTCTTCCAATGCATTTAAAATAAAGTTAACAAACAGTAGAAATGAGAGGTTTTAAGGTGATTGAAGGTTACATATGAACAGTTGAGTATTTACGTACCTTCTAGATGGCACTCAGGTTGTATCTGCCTTTTTCCTTGGATGGCATCAACCTTGCGGAATTTGTTGAACTGGAATTATATTGATGTTGGTGAGGGAGTGAGATCATTTGTAATCAGTGGGCCGTGATGTGAACAATATATTTGGCAAAGATCTTTGTTTTTGTAACTACAGAGCGGGTGGTTTGAGAGTGTTAGGTGTGGTCTAAAAAAAATAAATGTGTGGTTGTTGGGCCGGTTGGTTGTTATGTGGCCTCGGAATTGTAAGCCTTTGATTGTTGGGCCAGTGGTTGGGTTTATGATCTGGGAATAATAAATGTGTGGTGTTTGGGCCGGCGTGTGGGTATGTGGTCTGGGAATAATGATGGTGTGGTGTGTTTGGGTGGAGGGTTGATTTACAAATATTAAATATTTGGTGGGTGGTGGGTGGGTTTTTCCAGAACATATAGTTTGGTTGGTGGTGCGTGGTTGGTTGGGCTGCGTGGAGTACGAAAATCGAACGTGCGTTGGCCCGGTGCACTAAATGCGTTGCTGGTGTTGTCTGTACTTATTCTACTGTTTTCTAGACTCTTCTTTTATATTTTAAAGGTTTTCTTTTTTTATTTTCGTTTTATTATGAAAATTGCTTGAGTTATCTAGATTCATCCAAAACTGTGTTGGTAAATTAAAATTGAAGTTTTAAAATCCATTAACTGTGTTATGTAAATAGTACCTACAAAATAATTAAATGTAAAAAAAAAATAGTAATACGGAGTGCGTAGTATATGTTTCCATCCTTTCAAAATATATTTTTCGACTATATTTTTGGATATTTCATCTAATATCTAATATTCTAATATAATAAAAATTTGTAAGATCAAGCTATGTTTGACAATTAAATAATACATTCTCTTGCCCAGAAAAAGCATGAATTACAATTTTTTCACGGGCAACTTGCAAAAACATTTTTTAGAAATTTTATAGTGAAAATGATGTAGGTCCTTTTATTTTCTTTGGAAACCCGTTAAAACAAGAGATAATCAAAACAAAATAATTACTGGGCTTCGCATGTGGCAGAATTATTGCCATATTGGGGATCTAATTTTCTTAACGGTAAGAAAAATGTCTTTTTAATTAGGTCTCAATTAAAACTGAGTTACTCCCCCGTCCCGAATTATAAGGCAATTTACGGTTTACGATGTTTGACCGACGATAAAGGAAACAGATCCCTATCCGCACTCAATTTTTTTTACAAAAAAACATATTCAGAAACTATATTAAAAGTTTTACATAGTCGCAAAAACCGGAATCAAATTTGATAAAAATTAAATATATAAAGTAAGAGATTAAGAGTGATTTGTGTTGTTGAAGTGAATAGGAAAATTATCTTACAAAATGGGACTGATGGAGTATAAGAATATAAAACTAATGGGTTTGGCAATAGAAAAAAGTAATTACAATTACCTTTACAAAACAATCATCATAATAAATATAGTATCTTGTGGTCTTTGAAGAATATGCAAAGAAAAAGTAAGAGCAAAAAATTTAAAAAAACCAGATCACATTAATGGTAACTTGTCATTGCATAAAGTAACTCATAACAAAAAAAACTACGACTTTGACTGCGCTGAGACACATTATCCTGGTGAGTGATTAATTAGCTTTGCATGTAATGATCATTTTTTTAATATTTGAGATGTTCTTAACCCATTGTATCATTGTACGGAGAAACCACCACATATTTTTTGTAGGGATACCAACTACTACCTCCGTCCCGCTTAGATGGTCCCATATCAATTTCGGTTCATCCCTCTAAGATCGTCTCATACCAAATTTGATAAATTTTATATGATTCTAAATCATTCTTCATCAATTCAATATCAACCACATCAACTCACTTTTTAATAACCACACCACCCCCCATATCTCAATGTTAGCGGGACAGAAGTAGTATGAAACTATTAAAATAAAATGTATTCTAAGGATGGATTATATGAAAGAACTGTCATTATTTGTAGCTAGAGTTCTAAAACAAAGGATGACACCCCATCTCTGAGCCCCCCAGCACCGACCGGACAACTTAGCTAGCTGGGAGTAGGCCTGGACTCGGGCCGGGCGGCCCGACCCGGAACCGGCCCGGCCCGGCCCGGCCACTGTAGCAACCGGCCCGGCCCGGTGGCCCGGTCCACCGGCGGTTTGGGTCGAACCGGCCCGGTGGTTCCCGGTTCCGGGCCTTCCATATGGTGAACCGGCCCGGCCGGTCCGGGCCGGAAATAATTTTTTTGTTTATTTTTTTTTTGAATTTTTTTTATGTTTTGGGTTAGATTAGGTATTTTGGTCCATTTGAGGTGGTTTGGGGTGGTTTGGGGTTGAGAAAGAGGGGTAGGGGATTAAATAAAGAAGCCAAAAAAAATATAGGGCGGGTGGCCCGGCCCGGAACCGGCCCGGAACCGGCCCGGAACCGGCCACCCCCGGTTCGGGCTCGGGCCTCAATATTCTGAACCGAGACCCGGCCGGGCCCAGGCCCGAGGCCCGAACCGGCCCGGTTCAGTCCAGCCCTAGCTGGGAGGATGTAAATTGAACTTTGATATCACTCTAATGGAAAGAGAATGAGACTGCATCCCAAATCATTGTTTGAAGTTGAGATTACTCCCTTGTGACACTCCCTTCCTACCAGGTGAGCTATGCTCCCGGTAGCTAAAGTTCTAAAAGAGTAAATTATGCATGCATGACTTCTAGATAGAAGTATTATATTGGGAGTTGGAAAACAAACAAGAATTCAACTAGTGATAGTCTATCGTACGTGAAGATTGTGAAAATATCTATGTTCTCTACTGCCATTAGATACAAAGAAGCCCCCAAAGCCTAAATTCTAGAAGAGCCTCACGCTTACCCAACATAATATTTGTTATCTAGATTAATATATATGCATCTATGGAATTTATCTAAAAATTCGAATTAATTGATAAGTTTGTAGGAACCTTAACTTTTTTAAACCCGTTAAGGATGTTTTCTTTTGGACTGAAATTTGCTGGTCTGGTCTGGTCTGGTCTGGTAAACGTCTGGTCTCTGTGTATTTTATAACTACGGAAGTCTGGTCTGGTCTGGTCTTGTCTGATCTGGTCTGGTCTAGTTTGATCTGGTCTGGTCTGAGACTGAAAATAGTCCAAAAAAAACATCCTAAGTAAACCACCTTACAGTGAGGCAAATGTCGGGGAAAATTTGTCATGTTTTATTAAAATAAAATAAGTACAAAGAGGAGAAGAGGACCAGGCCAAACCTCTCCTCAAAGGACATACTCTTTCAAAATACCCCCAAAAATGCTAAGCTGAAAAAGGAAAATAACAATTGAGAGGACCTTACCCAATTGAATACAAAGACACACCAAAAATTAAAGGGAAAATTTCACAAATAGATTAAAAAGTAAAAATAGTATCACTTTTGTCACCTTCACTTTTTCTTTTCAAAAATAGATTAAACAAGACCTTTCTTTCACAAATAGACCCTGGAAGCAAACCGCTAGCTACGTATTGTATTACGGGAACCTCTATTCCTTAAAAGAAGTTAGGTTGTCAACATAAAAAGTCACGTGATCAACCTCATCACCAGTGTCATGTTAATTAGCAAAAATGGCATACTTCATACTTCGTATATAAATTTAATCAATTTTGAGAAGATGTAAATCAGAAAATAAAAATGTATAAAAACAGTAAAATTTAATAAATTGAAAACTCTAAGTTCTTTATATAATAGTTCTATACATTTTTTTTTTCGAAATTTAGTTAAAAATGAAAATACTGAGATACTTTTTAAAGAATTAAAAAATTAATAGTAAAAATTCAGCAAAATAATACGTAACTTAAAAAAAACGTAAATTGAGCAGGAATATATAAAAAAGTGTACAAATAACAAACAAGTTCACAAAAAACTAAAAAAAGTGTAAACTAAGTAGAATATATAAAACAAATTCTAGAAAATACCAAATTGAAACAAGTTAAGAAAAAAGAAATGCAGGAAACTTTTAAAAACTAAAAAATTGTAAGAAATAAAAGAGAGTTTTTAAACACATTCTTAAAATTCTCAAATAAATACGGAGTATATAAAATGTGAAAATATATAAAAATCTAATTACATTTTTTAAAATAAAGTCAAGTACAAAATAAGAATCTTAATGTTTAAAAAAACAGAAAATTAAAAAGTAAATTAGCAAGCTTGCAAAATATAAAATAATCGAAACTTATATATGAAAAAAATAATGAAAATTTAAAATAAATCAAAATTGAAAAACAGAAAATATATATGAATTTCGTAAGTCGATATTTTAAAAATAAGCTATAAAATGAATTATGTCATTTTTGACTTTTTTGACTGTTGTTTCTTCATGTTTCTTTTTGTTGATAACTTTGAGGTTTTTGCTTTTTATTGTTTTTTTTGTTTTTTATTGTTTTTTAACGTTTCATATAGTTATTCATATTTGTGGATCAAAATTTACAATTGTAGATGTTTGTGTATATATTTATATACGGTCTTTATTCCAAGGAAACATAAAGGATATTTATGAACCTAAATAAACAAAAAGAAATCAAAATTAACAATATACAACAATGTGCAACAATATACAATAATAAGAAACATGATAAAACAAAAAGCAACACACGAGATGCAACAAAATGCAACATGTGTGATATGACAAATAGAAAAAAGTAACATATAAAGTATCACAAAAAACAAACCATTCAATTTCTTAAATGAATTTGTTACGTTTATATAGAACATTGTACATTATTTGGATTGGTTCTTCTAGCTTCATCCTTTTATGATGCATCTTAATACATAAATTATGAGGTTTTTTCTTGTCTTCATTTCCCTGATTGGTCTTGTAAGCCTTATTTCCATCTGCATGAAAGACTTCAAACTATGAGTTGAAGTATAAAGCAGTTTGCTCTATCAATATCACAAATCAGTGGACTAACCTGTACTTGCAACTAATTGAAAGTCATTCTCAAGTTTATTGCTATTGCTGGTAACCATCATCAATTTTAGCTTCGTAGCAATCAACTCCATTTCTCTCATCACTTCCCTTTGTGCCAAATTCACTATTTTCAGCAGAATCTTTATGTTCTCTTTCCGTGTTCCATTTCTAAATCTTTGCCCTTCTCTCAACACTGTCTTCCCTAAATAGACTTCTGTTTCTCCTAGCCATAGGACATCTACTTTGTCCCCTCTTCTTCCAGGACTTCTGCTTCTAGGTCTATCTCCTCTCTTGGTGATGATGATCACCTCTCCTATGATATCCATCTTCAGAATCAAGTTGCTTGATGAAAAACACTTCTCGGATGTTCTTGGCAGCTGCTAATACCAGTACAAGGAAGCACATGTAACCATTGCACTCAATTGCAGATAACATATATCCATTAATCAAATTAATGTACACAGGAGTAATTATTTACCAAGCCTCAATTACTATATTTATAGTCATTTTATACTAAACGAATTGAAATAACATATGGAAACATAAGTAAACAAAAAACAACAATATTAAAAATCAATTATTGAAAAGTGATCAACAAAAATAAACAAAAAGCAACACGGTGAAACAAAAAGAAACAAAAAAACACTAAATAATACGGAATATTTTTCAAACAAAATACGGGTCATTCCTTATCTTTTCATTTTGTTTATTAACTGCATATAAAAATGCCATTAACTTTGTCATCTTTTGACACGAAGAACTTTTGTATTTTAAATCGATGATAGTAATAAGATTTATATTTTGATGGGGCCTTTATTGGAGATCGAGACAGAAGGGTATCAAGACAGAAGGGCCTTTAATTGTGTAGTCTCTAAAAAAGTACCAAATAATAAGAACCATGCTTCCATATATTACACATGTCAAGTATGCCCATAAGGTAGGGACTTTTCATGCATGGCAGCAACAATTCTCTCGTTGAAAGGCTTACTGTATACTTTAACAGCATATTGGAACGGCTTATAGTATGCTTTAACAAAATTGATATGAAGAGTATGTACACAAATCATTTCTTATTGAATGCCTTCATTCAAAAGTGGATATTACAATTCATATGCAAATTGATTTCGACAATTGTGTGATTAAAAAAACAAAGAAGGTATTTAGTCCTTCTGAATCAAGGAAAAATCATAGCAAATACTCTATAGCAGACAAAGAAGGATTTCTATTTTGCACCCAAGCTGATTAAATATCTAATAAAGGTTGACCCAAATTATAGATCTTACAACATTGTACAATTTTTAACATTTTCAAACGAGATTAAATGGGGGTAGGCATGCAGGAACCAAGCATTCAAAGTTCAAACACATCAATAAGTACCAAAATCACTCAACCACAGTCTGCAGAGGGTAGAGTATTTCTTAAACTGGTTTGAAAAAGTTGAACTCCAAAGTCCAAACCACACCTCAAATAGTCATGCCCCACAAATCATCGATCTCATTGTAACTAGAAATAAAAAAGAGACAATTAGTAAATGATAACTAATTGTCATCCGCATCATCTGAATCAACATGCATTATAACATTTTACATAAACATAGCAAAATGTATTAAAATGAAAATCATTATTTAATCCTAGGAAAAACCAGAAGTTTGATGAAAATAAATAAATTTACTCCGCAAATCTAGAAGCAACACTACACCTCTAGATGCCAAATCAAAAGCAAATTGACCAGAAATAGAAATGAAGAGAACTTGAACAGAAACAATCAATGAAATTCAAGAGAAAAGCCTGGAACTCACTGGTTATTTTAGAGCGATAAGATCGGAATACAGCAGTAGTGATCAGATTTGTAGGTACAAAGAAATCCACACCTGGAGTTGCATCAATTCGAATTCCAGAACAGTCTCTGTTCGCTGCTCTCTATAACCGGCCGCCAGTCGCCTGAAGGTCGCAGCCGTAAACGATACCGGACTAAAGGTCTGTTGCGATGTTGAGAACTCCATCGCTATTCCAGACTCTGCTCCAACGGCGTGTTCTGATTGTCATCCAATCGCTCTTCGCAAAGGGAGCCACCGATTCGACGGAAATCGCCGGTCGGGAGCTTCCCTCCCCAAGTCGTCAATCTCATCCCTTTAGAGGGAACCAAACTAGCTCAAAAGATTCTAAAATTAAATAGAAGGGATGAAATCGATGAGACTCAAATTATCAACGACGGAGAGTAGACGACGAAAGTATGAAGAGAGGGAGGGGTCGGTGAACGGTGAACCTATCTAAAAGTGAAATAAAAAATCAAAACTGAAAACTAAAAAGTTTATAAATGAAAAGAGAAAGTGACCAGGACATAAACGATATCTTAAACATAAAAGTGGACTATATGGGTAATTACCACAAAATTAAAATCTAAACGAACAAAGCCCAAGTTTGTCGACCCATAGATTTTAAAGACTGTTGAATTTTCTCTTAATGTAATGCTACTTATATTAGATTAAATTAAATTAAATATATACTTATTAGTCAATTGTTTTTTAATATAAAAGAGCGGGTTTTTATGTTAATATCTAGAAATCATACAAAACAATTTCTAGACAGTTATGTTAGAATCGATCGTAGGCCCTAAAAAGAGACATAGAATCAGTCACCTCATACAAAGTAACCTGATACGCTAGACACCAAACAGAGAAATTTAAGCCTAAAACAATCGAAATTGAAACACTATATATCAAAAGTACTCCAGAAATCTAAATATCCAATTCAAACTTACTCGAAGTAAATTAGAAAAAGTACTACTAAAGGAAAATAAAATTGAGATATAGCATTTTCACAAAATTCTTCGTGGTATGGGGTGGTTCTGGAGGAGGACAACCTTTACCACTGTCTACGCTTCGTCAAAGAAAGCAACCAGAAATCCCCGACCAGACAAAACTGGCAGGGATAGCAAAACAACTCCTCACATAGAGGGAGACAAAACAGCCCGAAGCGAAATGTCCCTACAAATAACCGCCAAAATACATAACAAACACAATCAGAAAAGAAGAACAGTCTAGTTGGGTCATACCTCTATTAAGAATCTCAGCTACCTAGAACAAGACATGAAATCCGCTACCTATTTGAATGCATCGTCTGTGCTCTTTCAGTTTGACATGAATCTAAAGGTTGGGCGGGCGGCGACTGTACTCCTAGAGGCACACGGACCGCAACACCGCAACATGATGGAATGCGAGATGTTGGAGGGGCAACAACACACTTCGCCGGCCTCTCGCCTACGGTTTCACAATTATGTTTTCCAATGAAGCCAACGAGTCTTTTTGGTTTCAGAGTTCAATTAGATAATGATTCCTTTATATTTTATAACTCAATTTTACTATATAAAAATAATATATCTAAATTACGGAGTATTATCTAGACTTTCATTTTAAATTTGTCAAAAAAAGTTGTGACGGCCCGAAAAAACCCACTAAACCGCCAGATTGGATCGTAACCTGTGACGGCCCAAACCCGGAAATATCCTTGAAGCCGGAATATATTCAAAAATTCGAAGCAAGGAGGATTCGAACCCAATTGTAAGAGCTGGGAGAGCAGGCCTCAATCCAAGGAGCTGTTGTGGAACTATGAACTTTTTTATCTTTGAGCATATTTAATATATACTTGTATATATATAGAGTGGTCTTCTTGTCAGGCCGGCCTGACGGGATGCTCCGTCCGGCCGAGCCCGTTTGGACACCTTCCTGTTGGAATTTTTTGATGAAATGTTTTGAGCATGTTCCTCATCAAGTCTAGTTTGTCCATACCAAATTTCAGCTCAAAATTCGATCGGGAAGGCATTCAAATCATTTTTTGAAGTTGACTGCGTCAAAATATACATATAAAACTGCAGCATGGGCGGATCTATGTTGGGGCAGGGGTGGGCTCCAGCCCAGCCCAATTTATTTTTATTATTATAGGTATAGGTTTAATTTCCAGCCCACCTCAAAACTAATGTCTAGCCCAACCCAAGCCTACCAACTTTGTAATTCTATTTGATTATTAATTGAATTTTTTCAGTAGATAGTAAAATAGTTTTTATTTATTATTATAAATTTATAATGATTAAAGATAGAATTAAAGATTAGAAAATGATTTATTTATAATGCAATTAAAGAATATAGAATGATGTATTTACTGTTTAGGCATGTAAGAATGGATTCAAAATCTCAAGTCAATTTTAAAATTTGGAATACTTATTAGTTTTATGTACATCGACTATTTTTACTTATTAGTTTTATACTCTTATAGAAGTATTTTAATTCATATCAATAAATACTAAAATCTTTAATAATCAATAATAAAATTACAAATCACACTAAAAACGTTTAAATTTTAGATATGCTACCTCTGTCTCATTTTATTTAGCCATCTTTGACTCTTTACTCAAAGATGGTAAACTTTGATCCATCATTTTAACTCGTGTATTAATGTGAAACTTACTAAATTTATACTTTTATGATAAACTTTTTAACAAAGAACATTTCCATTTCATTTTTATATTATCAATTTTATTGTATAAATATATATAGTCATTCAGAGTTTAACTTCTTTTACTTGAAAAGTCAAATTAGTCTTAATAAAAGTCGGAGGTAGTATATAGTTTATTTCTATAATTTATAAGTTATGAATATGCTCGAGTCCAGATCGAACTGAACATGACTATGCTCGAATTCAGCTTGAATAACTATTCAAACTCAAAAAATAACGGCCGTTTTTTTTTGTAAAAACAAACTATTTAAACTAAAATTTAGCCCGTGTTCGAGATTGAAGCTCGTTAAGCTTTGGTCATTAAAGTAAATTCGAAATCACGATCGAACTTGAGTAGTTCGAAAAAAAACCAGTTCAATAACTATCAGTCCTAAGCTAAACCTTTTGTATGCAATAACGAAAATTTTTACTGCTTAGCCCACCCCACCCCTCATTCCTGGATCCGCCCCTGAACTGCAGTCAACTTCAAAAAATGATTTGAATGACTTCCCGATCGAAGTTTGAGCTGAAATTGACAAAATAGACTTGATGAGGAACATTCTCAAAAATTTTCATCAAAAAATTCCATCGGGAAGGTGTCCAAACGGGCTCGGCCGGACGGAGCATCCCGTCAGGCCGGCCTGACATGAAGATTTGTCTATACTGTATATATATATATATATATATATATATATATATATATATATATATATGATACAGAGTACTTAATATAGACTCACTTTTTAATTACTAATCACAATAAAAACATAGCATCCTTAATACGTAGTATACATATTAAGTAATACGGAATAAAGTATATGTTGTTACTAATATTATATTATGAGCGAAAGTGTTTATATAATATTTCATTCTTAATAAGCATTGTATTTTCTTTTAAAAAAACATTGTATTCATATTTAATATCCATCTAATTAAATATACATTTATATTTTGTTAAAAATTGTATATTTTAAAATAATAATTCTTTTTTTGTTGACCGGGTTTTCCGGCGTTGACCGGGTTGACCCGCCGGGTCCGGGCTGACCCGTGACCCGATCGTTCGGCCAGGTCACTTCCCGGTCCGGTTTTTACAACGTAGGAGGGGGTGTGCCTAGACCGTGTATGAACAATATTATTAGCCACTTGGTTTCGTATTGTGTCCACCGCCCCCATTTCATAAAGAGTAAAGGGTCAGTTTGGTCCTCGAAGTTGCAAAAAAAGGGTCAAATAAGTCCTTATATAGAAGATTCTGTCCGGACGTGCCATTTGAGGTGGCTCCCGGTAGATTTTTTTGATGAAAGTTTTTGAGCATCTTATTCATTAAGTGTAGTTTACTCATACCAAATTTCAGCTAAAAATTCAATCGAGGAGACATTCAAATGAATTCTTGAAGATAATTGCGCTTTTGACGGCATAGTTATCTTCAAGAATTCATTTGAATGTCTCCCCGATTGAATTTTTATCTGAAATTCGGTATGAGTAAACTAGACTTAATGAATAAGATGCTAAAAAATTTTCATCAAAAAATTCCACCGGGAGCCACCTCAAATGGCACGTCCGGACATAATCTTCTATATAAGGACTTATTTGACCCCTTTTTTGTAACTTCGAGTACCAAACTGACCTTTATCCCATTTCATAAACATTCACCTCCATCCACGAAAGATAAAATATTACTTCCTCCGTCCTATTAAAATGTTCCCACTTTTCTTTTTTGGACGTCCCATATAAAGGTTTTCGTTTCCATTTTAGGAAATAATTAACAATCTTAAGGGACAAATTAATCATTAAATATTTAAAATAATACATTTATAACATCACAATTATCAATACTAACTGCATTATAATATATACGTATTAAAATTATTTTTCAAAATATATTCTAAGTACTTAATTTAATTATTGTCTAAATAATCGTGCCGTTTTGATATGAAAACCTTCCAACTGAGGTAGGATTAGCAAGTGTCCCCCTTTTCGTATCTGTATCTTATTCTTATTTCTCATTTTCTGGTAGCCGGATCAGATTTCAAGACCACGAAAGATAAAAAACAAAAATAGAAGAAAAGCAAAAGAAACTCGAAGAAATCAGTCTGCTGCGATTGAGGAAACTTGCTATGATGTCGCTTTGATTCGAAGTTTCTATAGTCATCGGTTAGCTGCCTCATGTTTCGCTATATTCTGATTTGAGTATTTCACCTTTCTTCGTTGCTTCTACCGTATAAGATTATTTGCAGCCAGCAATCCTAGGGTTTAGTCTTGTTCTGCCCAGTTTTTTTTATACGATATCACTAAATTTAGTTTAGTGATTTGGCATTACAATTTCAATGAAGTAGCCTTGCGATTTTTCTCTCGATGAATGACGTTTCTGTTCATTTCTAGTTGAAGTTTCGTTCTGAAAGTAAATCATCCCGGGAAAACAATAATCTTATCACTAAAGACTTGTTGTATATACCAATGCTTGCAAAGTTCATGATTTTGATTTCATTTTGTTTTTTGGAGCTTTCCCTCAGTCTCTTTCTGTCTAATCTAGTATGCTTTTACATTATTTTCTTCCTCCTTCGGCTATATGGATTTCTCTTGCTGGGGTTATTGAGGTTCACAACTCTTGAAATGTTGCGTATTGAAGTTATGAGTGAGGCGCGCTTAAAATTATGCTAGGAATGTGTTTATGAGATTTCAGATTTGTAATCTTTACTAGTTCTGTTGTTGGTTTTTGTTTTGTGTAATGTCACGTCAAAATAGGTGGCTGCAATATATACAAGGTAGATGGATTGCAACAGAGGTGAGGCTAT